GCCACGCTCCGTCGAGACTAGTTAAATCCCAAGTGTCGATTACTTTCTGCTCTCCCGCAGTAGTCGGCACGACACATTACATGACCCATTTTCAAAGTCAATGCAGAGATATGGTGGAACAACACGTGGAGGATAAAATATGGCCATTAGTAATGGCAAAGTATTGGAGCAGTAAAGCTGAATGTGTTGTCTGTGGAGAGTTTCACAATACCAAGTGATAATGTCCAGTCTTCACAATCAGATCCTGAGTATGCAATGGTATAATTGTCTTTACCCAATAGTTGACACATAAGTTTTATTATATCAGTATTGTCTATATCTTCCAAATCTTTCACTATTCGACGATAAGTAGATGTGCTAATAAGTAGAGCAGCATAGCCACAGCCTAAGACCATCCTTGAATTCCATTCTTGTATGGTTGCTGATTTATTTGTGTTTTCAATTGCATAATTCAAAAGCACTGAAAACAATCCAGGATAGCCAGCACATTGTGACATTATTTCAATTTTGACAGCAGATGGAATTACTCCTCAACAAGTTGATAGTACTTATTCATCATATCTATGGTGAAAGGTTCAGCCCCAAAACAACAGCTTATATTGAAAGGGGATATTGCAGTGTGATCAAACACATGGTGTTTTTCATTGTCTATCAATAACCATAGTCTGTAGCTTCCAATACCCAAAAATCCATGGAGGGTTGTCTTCTCTAAGCAGAAAGTATGTAAAGTTGCAAGTAAATCATATAAGTGTTCAATTGTATTAGTACCTATCGAAATTATACTATCAAACTCATCCATAATTATAATTAAGGGTTTTTTTAAAATTGTTGAGATTGTGTGCATAAAAGTTTCATATGTCATCCATGACTTCACCTTTGATGCAGCATTTGCCAACAACACCCAACTAGTATCTGCTCACATCCACATTGCAAACTGCCAACAATGCCATTAGCAAATGAATACCAAAAGTCACTTGAAGAATCATGTTGAGTAACATTTGTTAGAGTGTAGATGCATACATGTGCCAATTCACTGAGATCATTGTCCTCACAGAGAGCATCTGCTATTGAAGTCTTTCCATACTGGCAAGGCCCATGAAGAAGGACATAACCACCTTCACATAGTATTGATTTAACTTTGGTATACAGAGGAATCATTGACAGTGGGACAACAATATCACTATGCCAGTTGACTGGTCCTTCAGTTTTAATATGGGGAATGTATCTCTTAGTTGTTTGTAAACTCTGTTCCCATTCACCCTTCCTTTTACCTATGATAGCAAGGGAAAAAAGTACAATCTAGTCAATAATGCATATTTATACAAGCATTTTCTCAAATATCAAACAAAATAAACAGTTGGATGAAACTGGGAAAACGTATAAAGACGAAGATGAGAAGAAAGAGTGGCAGAAGAAGAAAGGAGAAACATTCTCACAATAAAACTATATTACAACCCACATTACTATGTCTACTCTACCCTATGTACACATTACTCTATATCCCAACACCAAGTCACAAAGTCGTTACAGTTACCTGTCTGTCCTAACAGAGCGTTTTTTTCTTTCCGGAGCTCTGCTAGGTTGGTGTAGAGCGAGGTGAGAAGGTCCTTCCCCTGCTCGAACCCGAGTGTCGTTTCGATTGCTTCAATTTTATTTTCAATAGCCATGATTTTCTCGTTTACTTCTTCAATGGTCGTCATGATTGTTTTTGCGGAAAGATGTCTCATATGTGATGTTTATATACTAACAACAGTGTTTCGACAAATCCGGCGCCACGCTACATTAGGAAACAAAAATGTTGCGAAAAATCCGCGACAGCACAAAACGCTATAATTAATCTATATTTAATTGTTCTTCTAGAAATAGTTAAAAGTGCGTTGCGCTTTTTCCGCAGATATATAAGTAGCTCATATTCCATCGCCAAATCTTCATTTGTAACGTTGTATGTTGTTTATGTTGCGAAAACATCGAAAGTTGAAATTATTATGAATAAATAAAATATTACTGATCTTAGTAATATTCTATATTTATGTTGTATATAATTTGCGTCACTATATACCGGGATTATACAGTGAGACTCCTCTAAATGCATCTCCTCTAAATGCATAACTCCTCTAAATGCATACTTTTGTCTGGTCCCGA